TTATCTGGCCTCCTATCTGGGCTCGCACTGGACCCATCGCCCCGACGGGTTAAATGTGATTTCGCTCCTGTCCGTGCCCGCCCGTGCGCTCATGCCGACGACATCGGGATTGCTGTTTTCGTCTTGCACGCGAAGAAATGTCAATTTGTATTGGGCACTGTTGCTGCGGAGGAGTCCTTCCGCCAGGACTGTCGGGAAATGAAACTCAGGGTGTCGCAAGCAGAAATCGATCGCGTCGGTCTTTGCCTCGGTGTTTTCTTGGGCGTCGGGGATGAAACTGAGTCTCGGGCTGCCCCTCTCCACTCCCTTATGAGACGCTCCAGGTACGTCAAATCCCTGCGCAAAGGACTCGCAGGACATATTAACATGCACAACATAAATTGCCAGCCTGTGGTCCAGCATGCTGCTCACTCGTTCCAGGCTCCTGCTGCCAGTGTAGCAGTGGAGCGCGAGGCGCTCCAGCAGTTACCGCGTGCACCGCGCGATTCCTTCACCAGCGCTACGTTGTGGGATGCGACCTCGTTTGGCATCAGCTGCTCGGCTCGGAGTTTGTCACGCCATGCCCGTGCTGCGCAATGTCGTGCCGCCCTGAAGTCTGATGAATCTACCCGTCCACGCAATTTCTTTAACGATTTCCAGCATGATAATGCATGCGCGTTGTTCTACCAGCGCTCGCCTACGTATCAGTCCTCGGTATTCGTCAACGTGCTTAAGAATTTCGAGTCGTTTCTCGCTATCCCCTCGGTTCCTTCGAATCCTTGTCCCGGATTACAAAGCAAGGTCGCTCGCGAATTATTGCGTCTCTTCCCTCCTCTCTCGCCTTCCCTTGCCTTGTGTGCTGGGCTGAATTGCTGGATTCCGACCGATCGTTCCCGGGCGGACTTGGCCAGGTCCAGGTGCGTCTTGATAGGCAAGAAACTAGGCTCTTGTATAGTTTAAGTCGATTATTAAAACCATGGCTAATGCTTGGGTCATTTCGCGCCGATTCCGAAATGGTCGCCAGAGATGTAAGTTTGGCTGCTATGCTGTAGGTGGTGATGCTATTCCCCAGTGCATGTCGTGCCCGTGCATGCTTCCTTGAGTCCGTGCCTCCCTGCCTGCTCTTCCATCCAACCGGGGCGATGATCCCTGCCTTGCTTTGGTTATCGCGTCGGCCTGCCTCGAAGGTGGCTCGTCTGTCTTGCTCTCGGTTGCCCTGGCGGTCGGTGGGTTGCACGCTGCTTTCAACCAGCTGCGTGCCAGTGGGGCAGCCAGGCCCGGCGCTGCTCGATTCGCGCTCCGTGCGCGGCTTCGTGCTCAGGCCACCCGCTCCCCCGCAGCGAGAGATCCCATTGCAATCAGATCGAGAGTGGACTGACGGATAGGCTTGTCCTCGTCTCGTCTCTTGCTCTTTGCGCCGGCCGAGGTCTCGTTCCCAAGGCTGGTCATCGCTCATCATCAATATCAATATCATCAACATCATCATCATCAGCAGCATCATGATCATCATCATCATCAGCATCATCATCATCATCATCATCATCATCATCATCATCAGTATCATCATCATCATCATCATCATCATCATCATCATCATCATCATCATCATCATTATCATTATCATTATCAGCATCATCATCAGCATCATCATCAGCATCATCATCATCAGCATCAGCATCATCATCATCGTTATAGTCATCATCGTCGTCGTCGGCGTCGTCACCATGAGCGGGGTAGTCGTGCAAGCACGAGGGGGGGACAGCCGTGGAACCAGAAGGTGGGGGACAGTGGTGAAATCATGAGGGGGGTGAGTCGTGAAAACAGCGGGGATGCGAGTCGTGAAGCGACGGGTTGGACATTTGTGAGAACAGAACGGGGCCAGCTGTGAAACCTTGATGGGGTGAGTCGTGAAACCATGAAGGGGACAGGCGCGAAACCATGACGGGGGTAAGTCGTGAAACAATGAAGGGGGGGGTGGGGGACAGCCGTGCAACGGCAGAAGGGCCGCAGCAAACGTGCCCACATTGGAACTGTCCTTTTCACAAATATATGACAGCAAGCGTGCCCACTTTTCAATTGTGATTGGCAGCCAACGTACCCGCATTTCAACGACAGAAGGGCCGCAGCAGCCGTGCCCACATTTCAACAACCACCAGCAGCGACGCCACATGATGACAGCAAACGTACCCAAAACCATAGGAGGTGGGCTGTGGAATCATGAGGTCCGCAGCAAATGCACACACATTTCAGTTGCCACCAGCAGCTGCACGACAGGATGGCAGCAAACTTATCAACATTTCAACTGCCACTGGCAACACACATAGCAACATATCAAAACAGATGTGCCGCAGCAGGCGTAAGCATACCTCATCTGCCACCAGCAGCTACACCACAGGATGGCAGCACACGTGCCAAAATGTCCGCTGCCACGGGCAACACACCCACCCACAGCTCAACGGCAGAGCAGCCGCAGCAAACGCGCCCACATCCCAGAAGCCATCAGCAGCTGCACCACAGACAGACCAACATGTCACATACCACCGGCAGCAACCGTACCCACGTTTCAACACGAAGGTCCCGCTCGAGACATCCTCTAACATTTGGGATGTTGGCTTCATGGGGGGGGTGGTATTTGAGTAGCTTGCGGGATTAGGCCCGACGAGGCCAGAACATGAACGACAGGCTCTCGAAAGGCTCCAAGCAGATCCTCGAAAAAGGGTCCCAACAGACCCTCGAAAAGGCTCAAACAGCTCATCGACCATGTTGGGTCTGTTCGGGCCCTGCCAGGGGTCCTCTTGGAGTGTTTTCGGGCGGTGTCGTGGCAATTGAAATGTGGGTGCGTTTGCGAGCATGCTGCGGTGTAGCTGCTGGTGGCTGTTGAAGTGTGGGTGGGTTTGCTACGGTCCTTCTGCCGTTGAAATGTGGCTCGTTCGCTGCCCGTGGTAATATGTTTTGAGGAATGGGCGTTTCGCTCGAGACCTCTTCAAGAAATTGCTTCGGAGGGAACCTGAGATCATCAAAACGGCCGTTGCGCTCGAGATATGCTCCACAAATCGAGTTGTTGTCAACTTTCTCTTGGCTCTGGGTCCCCACGAAGGCCTAAAAGGTCCCCAACGCGGCTTAAGATGCGTCCGAGACGACCCAGTAGGGACTCCCGTTGGCCCCAAGACGGGCCAAATTGCCCACACTGGTCCAAGATGGTCTGTTGCACGCAAGCGGTGCGAGATCGAATGCGGACAACTGCACGTAAACAGTACAAATCTCACCAGCCTTCTGGGAGCAGGTGGTCTAGAGCGTCTCCTTTTCCAACCTCCTGCCTGTCCCTGCTCGGGAGGTTTACCTCCCCCCCCCTCCCTGGGTTCTCACGGGGGGGGGCCGACCCATAGCAGCGTCCAAGATAGCCCAAGATGGCTCCAAGAGGGCCCCAGAGACTCCAAGATTGCCTCCAAGATGGCCCAAGATAGCGGTAGATGGGTCAAGATAGCCTCCAACACACGTCCAAGGGGTCTCAAGACGGCCCCAAGACGATTTCAAGTGCTTTCCGAGGCCTCCAAGGACCCCCCCAAGAGGCCAAAGTAAAAACCTAAGGACAATGTATGTTTTTGTTGCCTTCTCGTTTTTTCGCCTCCGTTTGGCTCTTGAGGCCCCAAGAGGGCCCATAGATGGCCCAAGACAGCCCCAAGAGGGGCCCCAGAGGGCCCCAAGACGGCCCACAGAGCGCCCAAGAGCGCTCCAAGAGCGGGCCAAGAGAGTCCCAAGACGGCATTTTTGAGCCTCCGAGGGGGGGACAGGAATTAAGGACCCCCGTGTTTTTTTTCGCGATAGGGTCCAAGACGGCCCCAAGAGGCCCCTCAGGCATCCCAAAAGAGCCCCAAGAAGGCCCCCAGACCCCCCAAAAGAGCCCCAAGAGGGCCCCAAGACGCCCCCAAAGAGCCCCAAGAGGGCTCCAAGAAGGCCCTAAGAGGACCTCAAGAGAGCCCCAAGAAAGAGCTCCAGGAGGGCCCCAAGAGAACCACAAGGTAGCCCCATTATGGCTCCAAGTTTCGAAGCGCACGCAAGTTTAACATACAAATCAGTGCAACAGCAATTACGAGTTATCGAAACACCCCTCACCCCCCCTCACCCGCAGAAGAATTTGAGAGTTGCACGGGAATGGTGCGTTATCGATGATTGTGTTGTACCGTTTATGTGCAACCTCTCGTTTCGCACAATCGCGCTGTTTACGTGCAGTCGGTTGTTGTTACGCAAACTCACGCCGTACAACCCCCCGCCCGGTCCCCGCAGCACACGCCCCGCTGGCACATACGCCGTGCACCCCCCCGGCCCGCCCACCCAGAACACGCCCCGCTCGCACGCCAGACACCCCCCCCCGTCCCGCCTGCCCAGCACACGCCCTGCACACACGCGCGCACGCACACACACGGCCGCACACACAGTCGCACGCACAGGCACACACAGGTATACGCACGCACGTACACGCGCGCACACACGCACGCACGCACGCACGCGCGCGCGCGCAAGCACGCACGCACGCACGCCACGCCACGCCACGCCACGCCACGCCACGCCACGCCACGCCACGCCACGCATGCACGCACGCACGCACGCCACGCCACGCCACGCCACGCCACGCCACGCCACGCCACACCACGCCACGCCACGCCACGCCACGCCACGCCACGCACGCACGCACGCACGCACACACACACACACATGGGGATCCCAGCGACTGCACCCCATGTGCGCACATGTTTGCTGGGTGCAAGTCCGTGCGCTCGTGCGCACGCAAGTTCAGAGTAGCGGCGTGTCCCGTTCTTGTCCGCATAGCTTCGTTGTTTTGCCTTTTCAACGAGAGCGGGCTTACAAGATGAGATCCTACGTTCTCTTCCCAGCCAGGGTGGAATCAACCCTCGTCCTGTGGAGGTCTCTGGAAGTCTCCGACCGACGTGTGCGCTAGTTGATTGGCCAGTCAATGCGAGAAAGAGAGAGAGAGAGAGAGAGCCGCCGTTCCCGTGTCCCAGGAGCCCATCGGTGGATTTAGCACCAGCGGCGCTGCGGCTGGCGCCGTCCCTGCTGCCCCCCGGGTGCCAGCCTTCTTCTCACCGGCCGCCCTCGATCCTGGCCGATTGGAAGTCTCGAGGTATTCCAAGTATTTGGAGGAGCTCCCGCCCACCCAAGCACGACCCTAAGAGAGGAGACGGCACGAGCAAGGCAGCGCAAACGACCTGCGATGGTAATCGGCGGCAGGGAGCAGCGAGTGGTGCCTTTTGTCAGTGGACCTGCCTACCTCCCACGCTGGAGGCCACGGCCTCCAAGCCGTCCCCTGGGGAGCACGGGCGGGCTCCCCTCGCGGAGCGCGCAGGACTCCAGCGCTCGCTCGCTCGGCTCCTCCCGCCGTGGTGCCCGCCCTCGGGGTCGCGAAGAGTCGGGAGGGGAAAAAACGCACACGGACACAAGGAATCGTCGATTCCCCAGAAAATGTGGGAAAACATGGGGAGTGGGGGGGAAGACAAAAACCCAGACAAGATGGGAGACTGTGGGGGATCTGTGTGCAGTTATTTGTGTGTCCTTGGGGGCCCCTTCAAGAGAACCCGCGGCTTGCGCGCGCGGGCCCGGGGGCACGGGGGGCGCCCCCTCTCCGGGGAGCCAGCGCGCGGCGGCGCGCCGACCGCTCCGCTCCGCGCGCCGGAGGGCGCGCGCCGCGCGGGGGCCGTCTGCCCAGGCCCGCGGAGCCTCGAGCTCGCTCCGGTGACCAGCCTGGAGCATATCCCTATCCCCATGCTGGGCACCTCCTCATCACGGTGCCAATCTCAGGGGTTCCCTTCTTTTCTGAGGGCGGATCCCTGAGAGTGTCATCGCCTTTGGGCGTGTCCATCGTAGGGGTAGGGATACGTTCGAGGCTGGGAATCCGGGGTAAGTCCGTGATACCTGCGGTCTGGGGTGCGTCCGGTCTGGGCGCGCCCGCGGCGCGAGCCGGGAATCTACGAATCCGTTCTCCTCGGGGCATGCCTGGAGGCTGCGGGGGCCTTTCGTGGGCTCCTGGTCGGGACGGCTCGGCGCGGCCGCATGCATCTGTTCGGCGCGTGGGCATTCGGCGCGGGCCACGCCGTGGGCGTCTCGGAGGAGAATGTCTCTCCCCCTTGCCCCTCCTACTTGTCCTTCTCGTCTTCCTTAGTCTCGCCCTTTCCCTTCCTTCCTGGTGTTCCTCAGTTGTTTTTCCGCGCTCAGAGCTCTCAAGTGGTTTGTCAGCCGAAATGCTGGAAGCCAGGATCATGGTACATTGCCAAACATGCGTTGCCATCGCTTCTCATGTATGAGGTAGGTCTCTTCTGGCGATCTCCAACTTTCTTCACCTCCCATTCCTCCTCAGCTCCTCCTTTTCCTCCTCCTCCTCCTCCTCCTCTTCTCCTCCTCTTCCTCCTCCTCCTCCTCCTCCTCCTCCTCCCCTGTTCGCGCAAACATCATTCACGCGAGGCATGGACGTGTGGACTGAGTACGCACACGCACACACATATATATATATGTATATATACATATATATATACACATATATATATATATATATCGTGCAGTTCTATACGCATCCACACGGGCATGGTACTTTCTCCTACATGTATGCACGCACCCATTTCTTATATCCTTGACCGTTGCGGAAAAGGGTGAGGGGGGCGGGGTGGAGGCGGGGTGGTCGACAGTTTGCGAGGCTCGAGTGAAATGAAAAGGATCGCTGCAGGCGCCGAATTTTGACTACATCACTCAACGAGCCCGTCGCGGGGGCACCCAAGCAATGTGGGCCGGTCGTGTGTGAGTCGCGCGGCGGGTCGCGGGTGGGTCAGGGGGGGGTTGCGGGTGGGTCGCGGGGTGGGTCGTTTTGGGGGGTCGCGGGGTGGATCGCGGATTGGGTGAGTCGCTGTTGGGTTGTGAATGTTTCGCCGAGTGGGTCGTGGGTTGTGTTGCGGGTTGGGTCGCAGGTAGGTCGCGGGTTGGACGACGACAACAAAACAAGAATTCGCCCCGCGGAATTAAATTTCAACCGCGCATTCATGGACGGTGTAAGACCATTCGGCCTCTCAAATCTGATATGACCAGTTACACAACATTAGTTTATTACATGATGCAAGATGCAGGCACACACATACACATATACAGATCGGTAGATACCAGTATACATATACATCCTTTTGGATGCTTTGATCATGCGCGCACTTCAATTACATCGCACACCAGGGGGATACGTTCCACACTCGCATGTATGAACACATTTTGGCTCTTTGGTCCCGGCCTCACCATATCACCCTGGGGGGTGCCAAGGTGGGTGGTTGCATCAGTTCCCGGTGGCTCTCGCCTTCGCTCCAGCGTCGCTGCTGTTGGTGCTTCAGCGGGTGGGGGCGTCCGTCCCTGGTGGCTCTCGCAGAGGACCTCGCGCTGGCCACGTTCCCGCTTCGGGATCGTGTTCCCGTCTGGATTCTTTGGCCACAATCCTAGTTCGGTCTCGCTCCAGCGCAGGCCACATTCTTCGTCCGCCCGCCTCCCTCTCTCGCCTCCAGCTGCAGCCGCACTCCGAGCGCTGTTCGCATTCTGCTCGCGCCTTCGCGTCGGCTTCATGTTCATGGAACACGATCCCGCACATCGCACATTACTTTCCAATCGCCGCAGGCATAGGTGATCGCGCTCATGCTCAATGGGGAGCATTAGGTGCATCTTCAAAGAATGTGTAAGTATTCGAGGTGCTCGGTCGGAGTAGTTCAATGCGAGCGCTGGGCAGAGGCGGTGCGTATTTTACTTGCATGAGCCCCGTGGCTGTCACTGCGACTGCGTTGGGGGAAGAGAGCCGGCGCCCTGATACCCCTTCATAGGAGGAGCAGGTGCCGATAATGGTAACCTCGCCTCGTCGCCACGGTGATCTTTCAAAGCGTGGTCTCCCGGGAGTTCCCGATCCCTGGCTCAGGGCCAGTCTCCTCCGTCCTGAGAGGTTACCTGGCAGGCCTGGAGCCTGTTGAGGGCCCCCGAGGGTCGACGCGGCAGAAGACCGTCCGCCGCGCCCTTCCGCCGGCGTCCCTTTCACGACGCGAGGGCCTCGTCTTGGACCGGGCGGGAGGCAGGGTCTCGTGCAGGCGGGGAGGGATGGGCACCAGGGGGGGGGGTGCCTCGACTCCCCGTCGCCCACTGCTCGCCGCTGGGGAGCCGACAGCGCCCCTCTCGCCCGGCAGCGTGCGTATTCGCCATCGGGGGCCGTCCGCCGATGTGCCGGCCAGTCTCGGGAGGGGAAAAACACACAGACACGGCCAATCGTTGTCCCCAGAAGATGTGGGAAGATATGGGAAGTGGGGGGAACAAAAGACCCAGGAAATATGGAACATATTCTAGGCCTCTCAGATGGGGTCGGAGTAGATGGGGTCGGAGGATCGCGCCGCATCGCCGATGCATTGCCGATGCGGAGCCCAGTTTTTCTCCACGCCGACAGCGCCGATGCATCGCCGACGTCGCCGATGCATCGCCGGTGCATCGCCGGTGCATCGCCGGTGCATCGCCGATACATTGTCGAAGCATTGCCGATGTATCGGCGATGTGGCGATCCTCCGATCCCATCCACTCCGACCCCATCTAGGAGGCCTCTAAAGATGGGGAATCCTGTTATTTGTGTGTCTTTATGTGTGTGTGTGTGTGTGTGTGTGTCCCAGGGCCCCTTCACTGTCGTCCGCCCCGCAGGGAGGGGCGTGGGGGTGCTTCCAAGACGGCGGCCCCCGTGGAGCGGTGCGCCCCAGGTGCTGGGCGGCGCAGGGCGCCGAGGACGGCGGCTCGCCGAGGCGCCGCGGGGGGCCTCGCGTGCTGCAGTCGTCAAGCAGTGGCGAAGCGTCCCGGCTCGCCTATAGGCTTATGATGTTCCAACCTACTTTGGCCTTGATCACCAGGGAGAATTTCGAGCGGCCAAACAAGGTACCCCAAAACTCAAGGGTTTTCACGTGTCGGGCCCTGGGAGACACTCGCCCGGCACTGTTTCGACACTGTTTCGACACTCTTTTGACACTTCTATGGGTGCTCGAAATTATTTCTGGAATGCGGTCCTTAGGTAGGAGGGGAACAACATAAATCAAGCAGTTCCGAATCTCCTGGCTCGCCTATAGGCCTACCGAGAAATGTTCGAATAACCTGTTGTGGTCTGCAGGAACTGTTCTCAGAACTTTTCTGGCTGGCACCGTCTGGGTTTAACACGTCGGGCTTACGTTCTCAGAACACTGTTTTTGTTCTTGGAGCATTTCTGGGTTCGAGGAACATTTCGTGGTAGGCCTAAAGAAATGCCGGGACGGTCGGTCCCTGCTCAAAGTCAGTTCGAAGGCGAATTCCGACCCCTGCCCTCGCCGATCAGCGATTCAGGCAACTCGATGGGCGGCGGGGGCAGGGTTCGGAATTCGTCGATCATGTGGCGAAATCCCGCCCCTGCCCTCGCTTCCCATCGATTCATGCGGATCGGTGGTTTGTGGGGTAGGGTTCGGATGTCGCCACCTATCAATCAAGGGGCAAGGCATGGGAGCACCCAGTGGCAGATGGAATTCTTCTCTCGGGGGCGTCCACGGAGGCAGATGATGACTAGGGATGTGTGGATATGCCATGGTTCTTTCTGATCGTGAGATCTTCAAGATTTCAAGGGTTCCTCTTCTTTGAATACCGTTCCAGGCCCCATCTCGTCCGCGCACACGCTGTGGGCCATGGCGCGCTACCCCCCTCTTCCTGCCCCACCCCTTCGGTGCACCCGAGCTCGCACGAGCGTTGAACACATCCATACTCGTGCCCTCGCTGCCTGGACAGCGAGGCGCAATCCTATTGATGCGCGAATCCGTGTATGCGTTGCGCGCGGGGCATCCGCGCAATGCAGCCCTGGATACAAGCGCGCGAGGAGTCCAGACTGCGAGGCCGTGGCTATGGATGTGTTTCTCGCCCACGACTCTCGGTGGTGTCTGTGGGAAGCTCATAGAGGGGATGTTCACGGTCGTATATAGAGATTCTCTCATGCGAGGCCTGGGACCAGGGGGCCAGACAGTCCAGACCATCTCGGCCTCCGTGTGGGGTCTCCTCCAGAGCGACCTCGATGCCTCCTTGAAGGGACGCCTTCGTGCACTACATCGTGCAGAGGCGCCATCATGATTTTGGTGACCGTTGGCCCCTGCACATAATGTGTATATATATGCATATATAGATTTAGAGAGAGCCTGAGAGAGAGAGAGAGAGAGAGAACAAAAAACATATATATATATATATAGAGAGAGAGAAGGAATGTGTGTATTCGCTTCGTCAGGGGGTGCCGCTGCCTGCGAGGCTGGTGAGCAGTTTGAAAGCCTATGGGGGATTTCAGACCCCAGGGTTCCCAGGGGAGGACTAGACTGCTGCTGAGCCTTATCCCTCGTCGGACCAGCCCCCCCTTGACCCTGGCCCCCGCCTTGCGACCCGCACACTGGCTTTCCATACTCCCCGAAGACTCGATGCTTTTCGAGTCGCTGGCCTCTGGAGCTCTTGACCCCTTCCCTGGGTCCCGTGTGTCATCGTGTGTAGTCTTTTGACGGTCTCGCGACCCCCCCAGGACACCGAGCACTGCGAAAAGATCCGGCTCCATGTTTCCGAGCCACCAGGCGTCTGGACCCTGGAGGTTTCTGAAGGCACAGCCCAGGCAGGAATATTCCTGCGCCTCGATCCTCGAAGTTGGAAGCCTCGGGGTCCAGAAGCATCCAGAAACGGCCTCGAGGAAACCGAGCATGGAAACAATTTCTCGATTTGTTTGTGCTAAGTCGCTGGAGGTTCCTTGGCGGGGACGGATCTGTTCTTGTCCACGAGTCGCGGCCACGAACGCGGTTGGTCTCTTCGGCCGAGACCCCACGAAGATGGGGCTGCTCTGTGCGGATACTCCGTCCGGAACGTATCCATGGGGTCGCCCTTGTGTCTCCAGGCTGCGAAGGCATGGGTGTGGGTATATTGTGCGTTGCTCGTCAAAAGAGGCGGTCTGGTATGCGGTCTGCCACCGGCCTCGAGACACCCTGTTCTCGTGCCCGCGTGGCGTGGGGTGGCCTGCTGGCCAGTAGGGGTTCTTCATCGTCGGTGGCTGCCGAGCGGAGCACCCGGTTTGCCCTGACGCGGGGTACCGTGCAAGCTTGTTTTTACAAGGCAGATCCGACCTACAAAGAGCGAGCCCGACCTGCGCTTGCTCTCGCGGGGGGCCCCGCCCGGTGGCGCGCCCCGCCCCTGCCCCGGCCGCTTCTTCTCTGGGTGCTCGCAGGCGGCTTCTCTTCCCCAGTCCCCGGCTGTCCGATGAGAAAAAGGACGAGGCCGCTCAGAGAAGGAGGGACGCCCTGGGACGCACCCCGATGGGGGCTGCTCGGACGCACCCCTCTCGAGGATGGACGCCCCCCCCCCCTCGTGCATCTCAGGGCTGGGCACCACCTCTCTGGCCCCTCCGCACCCCACGAAGCCTGGGACGGGGGGCCGACATCTCCCCTGTGGCGTGCCCTCCCTCCGAGCTCCAGCGCCTCGGCAAATCCGGGGCGGCGTTCGCGCCGCTTGTCGCCCTCGAGGCCCGCCCCGGCCCCGGGAGGAGCGGGGCCTCGCGGGAGGGGTCGAGCGCCCCGGGGCTCGGCATGCCACGAGGCACGGCGCGGCGCGTCCGGGTCGCTCCCCGTCTCTTGCGCGCCGTGCATCTCTCTTCGCGCCCACAGAGCAGCCCACCGCTCGCTCTGCCCGGGGCCTGCGCGCCTTGCACGCCCTCGGGGCTCATGAAAACGGGGGTCGATGCTCGGCCACGCGCAGAGTGGGGTACAGTCGACCCGCAGAGTAAGGATAGGTATCCCTCCCAAGGGTACCCTTGCATCCTTGCCTCCCGGGTCCATCCTTGGACACTTTCGTTGGCCGCGCCCCGCTCGAAACGCTTCGAAATGGGCGTCCAAGGGCCTTGCATCCTTATCGCGCATCTTTACTCTGCGGGTTGACTGTAGGGTGAGTGGGCAAGGCTTCTCAGAAGCGCCCCTGCTTCTCAGAAGGCGCGGGCCTGCTCCGTAGATGTAGCGCCCGCGCTTTCTGAGGAGCAGCCTCCTTCCGAGAAGCCTTCCCCCCTCCCCCTACCCCGTCTCTGCACGCCGCCACTATGCAGAGGGGGGTCAGCCAGAGCGCTGGATCTTGCATGCTGCTGCAGAGCCAGCTGTGCACTGACCCGTGCATGCTTGCAGGATCGTTTAGCAGGCGAGGAGCGGTAACAAATAAACTTTTCCGCCGTCGAGGACGCCTGCCCCCCAGGCGGCTGGAAAGTTTATACCCCTGCGTGGCACCTTATGGGTATAAACTTTCCAGCCGCCTAGGGGGCAGGCGTCCCCGACGGCGGGAACATTTATTATAATACCGTTCTTCGCCTGCTAAGTCATGCAGGATCCAGCAGGATCTTGCCGGATTTTGCGCAAGACACGACTGACCCGGGCCTGCACGGACCGGGGCCAGCAGATGCCCGACACCCTTGCGCCCTGCGGGCTTACAAGTCTGAGCTTCCCCCTCTGGATGACGGCTTGCGTCTCCGGTGGATCCCATGCTGCCCTCGCCCCCTTCGGCAGCTCGCGCTCGCCGCGCACCTCCCAGTACACTGGCTTCAAGTCTGGCGTGTACCCTTACCCAGGGTCGGCCTGGGTGAAGAAGGCCGTCCGCTGGATTGGGCGCTTGCCGCTGCGACCGATCAGCCTGCCGCGCGCGCGCTGTTTCAGCATTCGCGCCTCAGGGCGCAACGACACGCCGAACCGCTGGTTGTGTGACTGCAGCGACGTGCCCTGTAGGGGGACACTCAGGAGGGGAAAAAACACACAGACACAATTCATCGTCGATCCCCAGGAAAATATGGGAAAATATGGGAAGTGGGGGGGGGAAGACAAAAACCCAGAAAACATAGGAAAACATGGGGAATCTTTTTATTTGTGTGTATTTATTTGTGTGTCCTGGGGCCCCTTCAGACACGCCCGACCCAGCGCTGGCCCTCGGTGCCTGCGGCCGCCTGCGCGCTCCCCGCGGCGGAGGCCCTCAGCGCCCGAGGCCTCCCAGCCCGCGCGCGCCTCTTCGCCGCGGCCGCCGGCGGCGTGCCCCCGGCGGCCGCGCGCGGCCCGCCGGCTCTCCGTCCGCGCGCGCGCGGGTGGCGCGGAACGCCGCCCTCGCCGGAAGGGGGTAGACTCCAGATTTCGTAATACAAGGGAGGGGGTCTGGACCCTCCAAGACAAGCCATTTCGGACCTCCCCCGTGGGAGAACCCTCCAAAGCATCGTCCCCAGACCCCGCCAGGCCCTCCGAGAGAGCCTGGAAGAGACTCCCCCCCGAAATCAGACCCCCCTCCCTTTATTACGAAATCTGGAGTGCACAGGACGACCGGGGGCGGCCAGGAGGCAGAGGAGGAGGAGGTGCCCATGCCTCTGCCCCTCGCCCGCTGTTCCCCCTCTTTTTGGGGGCTCCTGGGAGGCCCTCGTCGCCACCGCCGGCTTCGCCTCGAGGTTCTGGGCAGAACGCGCCCCAGGAGGGGTCCGGGGAGCAGCGGTATGGGTATACCCTTTGGTTTCCCCAAAGCGGGGGGTGATGTTTTTGGGGGGGGGGCGGATGTCATGGCGGGGGCCATGATGATGTCCCCAGAGTTCACGGCGCCTCCTCTTGTTTCAACGCGTCCCTGCCCCCCCCCCCCGGGGCCGCGCACGTGCCGCCGGCCATGCTGTGCGCCCCCCCCGCCCTCTTGGGCGCCCCCCTCATTGGCCGCCCCCGAGGCGAGGAGGAGTCCGTCCCCCCGAGATCTCCGAGGACATGGGTCTGCAATCCTGCGTTCTTCCTCGGGTCTCGGCCTCGGGGGGGCCCGTGCTCGGGCCCCGGGGCCCTGAAGCATGGGCCCGGGACGGCAAGCCACCCACGGGGAAGGGGCCGGGGCCCCGGGCATCACTCGGACGTGTGCATTTTTGGTCGGCGAGGACCCTTGAGGACGATCCTGGACCATCGAGCAAACAAAACACGCGCGAAACCGAAAAAAATGCACGGGAAATGGACGTCCGAGCGATGGCGAGGGCCTCCGGGGCCGCGGATTGAAGCAAACTTGCATCGGCGGATGTCTGGGTCCAGAGCGTTCCAGGACGACGCGCTCAGAGCGTTCCGGACCGCTCTGAGAGGGTCGCGGCGCCCGAGGCATGCTCCAGAGCCGCCAGGTCTCAGAGATTCTCGATGGGTCCTCGTCCGGTTGTATCCTCGCCCTGGCTCCGTCTTGCCTCGCTGCTGGCCGACACATTCTGGGCCTGCCTCCCTGTCAGCCTTCTCTTTTTCGGAGATTGCCACACGGGTTTAAAACGACGCGGAGATCGGGACAAAATCGGATCGGGGTAACTCGAAATCTCTGAGAATCGGCGGCTTTGGAGGATGTATTGGGCGCCGCGGCTTCCAGAGCGTTCCGGAACGCTCTGAGAGCGCTCCGGAACGCTCTGGAGCGATTTATCCCGATCCTAGCCCTGTTTTAGGGTTCGTTGGACGCGGCCGCTTTCGCGCGCGCGGCTCCGCTCGAGGAGCGTGGGGGCCGAACTGCGGGCGGGGCGGGCGCCGTTATCCGTCGTGCAGGGCCCATCGTCTTGAAGTGGCATCGCTTGGACGTGTGCCTTCTTTGTCGGCTCGGCCAGCGCCAGAAGTTCTCGGCCAGCTTGGAGCATCGGCCATCCTGAGAAGCAAGTACGCGGGAAACCAAGCAACACGCTTGGCATCGTGAACGTTTCCTTATTCGGCGTCTTGACGTTGGGCGGAATTTGGGGGGGGGAGTGGGGGGGAGGTCTGGCTCTGGACCTCTGCTTAATGCGACTGTTCGCAGCAGTGCGTCCTATGGGGGAGACTCCACCTGCTTGAAGCAGGCGCCAAAAGCAGCCAAGATCCACTCCATCGGGTTGGGGGGGGAGGGGGTGCGAGGACCCGTGCCGATCGGCAGAACAACGAATAAGAAAACGAACACCTGGACGTCCGAGCGATGGCGACTGAACTGGACCTTGCTGCCTCTCCCGACCCTTCGAGGCTGCTGGACTTTTGTTTGGGCGACTTTCCTGGACCGACCTCTGGAGGGCCCCCGCTGCCGGCCTCCTTGGTGCAACGCCCACCTCACCTCCATCGTGCTCTCCTCCCTTGTTCCTCGCCGCCCTCCACCCCCCCTCTTGGCTCTCCCCTGTCGGTCAGGGGCTGCTCGGAGTACGAGCTGAGCGTCGGCAAGATTGCCGACACGCTGCAGAAGGACTACCCGGCAATCTTTGAGCGGGAGCCTGACTTCAGCGTGTATCAGGAGCACGTGTTGTTCGCGCTAGGCCAGCCCTTCCACGTCCAGAAGGTGGTAGATTACCACAGAGCTCTCTCCTCTTTGCGCCGGCTTGGGAATGGCGTCGTCAAAGATGCCAAGGTGCATTGTCAAGTCTGCGACGGGAAAGCTTATGGCTATGCTTTGCGGGTGTACTGGAGGTGCGTCGGAATGAGCTATATGTGGACCCCTTTGAATATCTCCGCCGTCTCGTTTTACTCGGTGGAGAAGGAGCAGATGGGAACCAAAAACGCACCCGCACCTGTCTTCTCTTCCCTCTCTCTACTCTCCCTCCCACGTCGCCCCCTCCGCATTCTCTTCCTGTACACCGTTCTCTGGAAAAGAAGTTTCCGACGGACCCAAGAGGCCCTGGGAGATGTCTGTAGGCCTCCAGAGATCCCAAGAAGGCCGAGATGTTAAAAACCTCGATCCTCCCTGATACCTGATCCTCCAGGGACGGGGAGGCAGGGAGCAGGGAGGGGAGATCCCTGCGCACAAGCTTCAGTACATTCTGGACGCCCAGAGGAAATGCCATGTGCGGATGAGAACGAGTCGCGGCTCCCATACAGAATCAGCCGCCATGTCATCGAGTTCACTGAGATCAGTCCGCCAACGATCCGTAGTCTCCTGCAGAACCTCTGGTGGAGGCGTCAGGTAGACCAGCGAGGGCCCGTACTTGCACTGAGGCCTGTGCCAAGTCTGAGCGCTGCAGCCAGTCTTCCACGACGCGTTGAGTTCTGCAACGCAGGCTGCTTCAGCGCAGCACACCTGCGGCGGTCGTATCACTCCGGGGATTCCGCCCACGGCCGCGCACCGACTCCGACGCCCGGTGTCGCGTGCCAGGGCACCCTGTCTCCCTTCGCCTCCTGGTGGTGAGCACTGGCGCGGCCTGCACGAGGCATGAGCCGGTGTCGAGGGGCGGCGGCAGCTGATAGGCCTGGGACTTGGCATCGCTCGGACGTGTGCATTTATCCCTTCGGCGAGGACCATCGAGGAGCATCCCTGATCATTTGGCGCAAAAGCCACGCACGAAACCGAAAAAAAAACGCAGGGAATGGACGTCCGAGCGATGGCCAGTGGGAGGGACTGCGAGCCGTGGCGAGGGCCAGATACAGTTTTCCTTGCCACCTGTGCGCGTTGCTGCTTCTAGGCCGCTCTCGGGTGTTGCTTGTTTGCCCCCTCTGCTCGGGTCGTCGCGCAACGTGTGCGGTCCCAGCGTGTAGCGCCGCTGTCAGTGTGCAGTGAGGAAGAAGCGGTCGGCGTCCGGACTGCTTTCGAGCACGATCTTTACGAGGGTGGGCCGTCTTCGCATAGGCTTTGCATTACAGCCGTTCGGTCGTGCAGCAAACTCATCGCAGTTGGTTGCACGGCAGCAGCGTTGGAGCCAGCAGCGCCGAGATCATGACAGGAGAGGTGCGCAGCCTGGCTGCGAGGGAAGGGAAGCAATTGTTTTTTGTGCGAAGCGCCTGTCAAAGGGTAGGCGCTCCACCCTCGTCACGTCGGACGGCCCGGCGGTGCAGTGCGCAGCGTCGCTGCGCATCATCGGTGCAGGCTGCGGTCAGCAGTGGTTTGGATCTCGGCATCCCGTGGCTGCCACCCAGAAAAATCACCTTGTGACGTACCCAACCTACTTACATTGAGTGCCAGGAGTTGGCCAGGGCAGTGACAGGGCAGGCGCCGTTGTCTGTTGTGCAAGCTACGTGGGTTACGCACACGTGGCATGATTCACAGGAGCAGTAGAAGCACGAGGAACGAGGGGAACGAAGAGCAGGAAAATGGGGGTGGGAACGAAGAGCAGGAAAAGGACGCGAGAGGGGCCGAACAGTCAGCGTGGCAGCAGCAGAGAGAGGGTGACAGGGGGATATTGACGTCGACAAAAACGACGGGAGACAGGATAATGTTGCTATTGCCCGTCGTACGCTGAAGATGCAGTGTTGCCTGCGGCATGTCGCCGCAGCGCTCGAAATTATGGGTCTTGCTTATAGCTAGTGCAAGAAGCGAACGAGGCCTAGCTCGCCCGCCAGCTTCTCTGCCTCCTTCCTGCACCTTTCAGTGCAGGAGCTAAGCGCTCGAAGGCGCGCCGCAAGGTTTGCGTGCGGCCGCGGGCCAGGACATCCAGGGCGGGGTCGCGTATCATATCGTCAGGAGGTTGTCCACGGTCGTCGCCTTCGGCAGCATCATGTAGAGATGCAGCCAGAAGTAGTCGATTTTCTTACCATCCCTGCACCTGGCGTCGACAATGACACCGCGGTGCATGGTGCGGCCCTGGCAGACCGTGGACGTCAGGATTCTAGCATGGGGGATGGCCAGGCCGGTGCTCATGACCGTACGCTTTAGGAAGTTAGGCGGATTTGAATTTTGCGGCTTGATGAAGGCGCGCCGCGTCCGCGGCGTTGATGCTGTCGTCGAGTTCCGCGAGCGTCTTGCCGCATGGGCCTTTTTGTATTTGTCCACGCGCACCCACACGCCATACGGCAGGTGCCGCAGGTATGCCAGACGTCGCTCGACCTTCGCTGCCTCTATGTCGTCCTCATACTTCGGGTTGACGACCACTTGGGCGACCTCGCTCTCGGCGTTTTGGACGACCCCCCGGTTTGGTCCAGGTGCTATAGCAGGCGGACGCGCGTGCCCGCGTGCAAGGGTATCATCCTGCGCATGCCGCCCGTTTGACCGGGGTTGGCGCAGTTGACCAGTTTTGCGGCCATGTCAACGGGCAGCGAGGGCGATGATCGGTCAGCTGGCATTTGGGCGAGGTCGAATACCCGCCCGGGAGACGTCGCGCCCCTCCCCGCGCGCGTCATCATCCACCGAACCGCGTCACCATGCGATCATGTGTCCCGTCTGGAACCGCTCCTTGCCCAGCCGCCTGTCGTTGGGTTTCATTCGGATGCGGTTCCGGGTATCCGCGATCTTCTGAGGCGCCCTGCCTTGTCTTGGCTTGCGCGCGAAGTTGATAATGTCGTCGAGGTCGGGGTCCTTGAAGCGGCTGGTGGCCTGGAGCTCTATGCGTAGGCAGTGTCGCAGAAGGCCTTCATGTTTCTCTGGTGCCCCACGGGTGGCCCATCCTTCCGACTGTCGCCGGCCGCCAGCATTTGCAAGCCGGACAAAAGAGACGTGCCAGACCCAGTTGGCTTCAGCTGCAGGAAATCCCCGAGGTAGATCACGATGGGAATGTGGCCGAATACACAAGAGAGCCTCGGGTAGGTCGCCTCCTGCAACTTTCAGTTTTCGCCGCGCCTGGCGTGGAATGCGCGGCAAGCCAGCATGTTGGAGAGGTTCGGCGAGACCACGCTGCTTTCCTCGATGACGAACATCCGCAACGGCACATCTCAAAATCTCCTCATGTTCCGGGCGCCCCAAAATAAAGCCCCAGTGGTTCTCGAATGTGGCGACGCTTTCCCACATCACAGCTCACAGGAATGGCGAGGTCTAATCTAAATCCCGGTGCGACGTCACTCCGCTGGAGCCCCCAGCAGCCCTCGACAATGGCAACAGTTTCGCGGCCCCCAGCCCCGCAGGGATGACGAGGTCCGATATGAGTTTGCGTAGCACGTCATTTCGCTGGACCCCCCAACAGCCTTCGAAATTGGCCACACTTTCGCTTACCTTAGCCCCACAGGGATGGCGAGGTCCAATCTGAATTGCGTAGCGCGTCAATCCGGTGGAACCCCCAGCGCCCCCCGATGTTTGTCAACATTTTCGGAGGTCGCAGCCGCGCAGGGATGGCGAGGTCTAGTTTGAATTTGCGTGGCACGTCACTCCGCTGGACACCCGCGCGCCCTCGAAAGCGGCGGCAGTTTCGCAGACCGCAGCCCCGCAGGGATGGCGAGGTCAGTCTGAACCTGCGTAGCACGTCATTCCGCTTGACCCTCCAGCAACCCTCGACAATGGCAACCATTTCGCAGATCGCAGTCCCATAGGGATGGCGAGGTCCAGTCTGAATCTGCGTGGCACGTCACTCTGGTGGACACCCCAGCCTTCGAAAGTGGCGGCATTTTTCCCAGATCGCAGCCCCGCAGGGATGGCGAGGTCCAATATGAACCTGCGTAGCACGTCGATCTTGTGGACCCCCCCAGCAGCCCTCGAAACTGGCGGGGGGTTCGCAGACCGCAGCCCCACAGGGATGGCGAGGTCCAGTGTGAATCTGCTTAGCACGTCACTCTGCCAGACCCCCCAGCATCTTTCGTCGCGACAGTTCTGCGCATTACAGCCCCGCAGGGGTGGCGAGGTCTAGTTCGACTCTGCGTAGCACGCCACCTACGCGCACCTTCGAATGTGGCGACAATTTCGCAAACCGCAGCCCCACAGGGATGGTTAGGTCCAATCTGAACTTGCGTAGCACGTCACTCCGCTGGACCCCGCAGCAACCGTCGACAATGGCGACAGACTCGCAGACCGCAGCCCCATAGGGATGGGGAGGTCCAGTGTGAATCTGCGTGGCGCGGCACTCCGACAGACCCCTAGCAGTCTTCGAAAGTGGCGACCCGCACATCGCCCCCCCCCCCCCCCCCGCACACACACACACACCGAGCATCCGGGCAGGACGACGAGGTAGGAAACAGGGTCGCAGGCATGAGTAGTAAGAGGCAGAAGAGAAGAGGAGGAAAGGGGGGAGGCGGGAAAAGGGAGGTGGAGGCCACAGTGCCCCATTCGAAACGAGCACCCAATGCGCGAGGGTTGGGAAAAACGCCCGTGTAGGGCTGTCGTGCTGGACTCCCTCCTCCTCCCCCCCTCCTCCTCCTCTTCCTCCTGCTCGCTGTTGGCAGAAGCGTATGAGCGTGTGCGTGTGCGTGTGTGCGTGTGGACCATCGGTGAGTTGCGGCTCCTACCCGTCGAGTTGCGCGCCTGGGTCGCGGATCTGCTCGAGGAGGTCGAGGGGTCCAGGCTGTGGCCGCAGGAACCCGCGCAACCCGAAGGGCTGCTGTTGCCGAAACTTGGGGGTGACAGGCCGCTGGGGCGCTGGCCGATTTGGATATTGCCGATCCAATATCGCCTCTGGGCGGCAGGGCGTGCGCGCTTGTTCTCGCAGCGGCGCGCTCTTCGTTGGGCGGCAGTGCGTGGCGGCGCGGCCCATGAGAGCTGGAGGCGGCGGACGCGCTCTCCGAGGAGATGGCTGGGGCAGCGCTTGACTGGTCGAAGGCTTACGGCAACGTCGACCTCCACCGCGCTGCCAGGTGCCTTCGAGCGCGTTGGCACGTCTGCTCGGATCTGGAAGCCAGCGCCGAGCTCCTAGACAGCGCTCCGCAGGGTCCAGGTTGGACAGGCGCTCGGCGACCCGTGGCTGCCCGCGCGCGGTTTGCTGCCGGGCTGCCCACTGGCGGTGTTCATCCTGGAAGTTTTCATGTGCCCTTGGGTGCGCCGCGCGGGTGCTACCAGCGACCATCTCCGCAGACGCGTGTACGTCGTCGATTCCACCATCTGGGAGCGCGTCGCGGCTGGCTTCGGCGCGGACGCGACCGAGGAGGTGCGGCAGGCGCTCTGCGCCGCGGGGGCGTTCGAGCAGGCGCTGGGCTGGCAGCTTAAGCGCCGCAAGAGCGGCACTTCGCGGGCAGCCAGGCCCTGCGGCAATGGCTCGCGGCGCAGACGCCTGGCGTCCAGGCGAGCCCGGATTTTCGTGGCTGCATGGGGAGTCCTCGCCAACGCTGGCTGTGGCCGCCGTTGCGCCGTCTCGGCAGCGCGGCTCCGCGGCGCGCAGGGCAGTTTTCGGGCGGCTCGGGCGCTTGCCGGTGGGTTTCGGGCAGCGCTGCCTGCTGGGGGCGGCAGCGGGCACTGCAGCTGGGACGTATGGAGCTGCCTGTGGCTGGCCGCCGGCGAAGGAGCTCAGCGGCGGCAGTGATGATCGCGCCGCTCTGGCAGGCAGCGAAATCCCTCCGACC